CCATGCCTCTCTCCTGGCTTCTGCGGCATGCTGGCATCTTTGGCATTCCTGGCTCCTAAATACATCACCCTGATCTCTGCCTTCATGTTCACATGGTGTTCTTTCTCTGTGTATTTGTCTCTACATCCAAATTTCCCCTTTTTATAAGAACACTAGTCATTTTGGATTAGGGCCCACTGTAATGATCTCATTTTAACTTGATTCTTCCTGTAAAGACCCTATTTCCAAATACAGTCGCATCCAGAGATATGAGGGGTTGACTCTCAATATATCTCTTGGAGGACACAATTAAATCCATAACACTCATTAATTTCAAACCTCAGTAATTTGGCATTGTGTTCATGACTATGTTCTCTTCCTACTTATGTGCAAATCATCTTTTATTTCATGGTTCAAATAATATAAGCAAAGGATATCTCCTCACCCCCTGTCCCCCCATGAAAAGATTTATGTAATTGTTGACTTTGATACAGTTGCTATTAGCCATTGTTTAGAAACTTGAGGAGAAATAGAAAGCTTTTCATTACTCTTGAGTTCTTATGAGTTTCTTATTCTTATAGGGATGCCTAGGCTGGGGAGAAGCTGACCGGAGTTCCTATAGTGTAGCCTCCTCGGTAGTGAGCTTGGCTGTGAAGAATGTGGCTGGTTAACTGTGACCATATTAACATACAACACTCACAAATAAGTTTTCTTACTAAAAAAAAAAAGCTTTGAACTTCCAACATTTTTATAAATGAGTAGAGTTTCGTTTTGTTTTCCAAACCAGTGTTCTCCAGCTTCCTAATGTTTTCTTTGTGCATGTATGTGTTTATATTTGGGGAAGGGAGGCAGTTTATCACCACTCTGATTACCAGTCTTTATCCTGGTTTGATTCCCTGATTATGTTCTCTCTTCTAAATCCCTGTAACATGTAATATAGGATAAAAAAAACATGCATTGCCTAATACTTTGCATTTTCAAACATGTGGCGTTTAAAAATGTCTTTAATTCAACACCTTGAAATCATCTTTTCAGTTTCTCAAGGACTTTGTACAGTAAGAGACTGGTTAACATTTTTTGAGCTTATTCAACTAACGATGAGTGTTTGTCATGTTGTTTTTATGCCATTTCTATGCGGTAGGTGAAAAAGAGGGAACTTAGATATGGATTCTGCCCTCAGGAAACATAATGATCTTGAAGGGAAATGGTCCATATACGTACATAACTCTGCATGAGTTAGAAGGTCGTGTCTCTGTATAAGCTAGAATGCAGTAAGAAAGGCCCAGTAAAATAGTGTGGAGTTTCTAAAGGAAGGAGAGAGGATGATGTTGACTAAAGCATTTTAAATATGTTCTCACCAGTGATGACTGATTGAATTTACAGCCTCATGGTCTTTTAAATTAAGCTTCCCTCATCACTGTGTATATTTTTGGAACCTGGTCCTCCAAGAACATATAATGAAATTTTCACTCTTTGTTACCAGATTCTTCACAAAATCTGTTAACGCCCAAGGGCTTTAAAGTAAAAGCAAGCTGATTTATTTTAATTATTGTGCAAATTTTGATTAAGCAGAAGTGTTATGTTTGAATGTTAAGGTGGAGTTGGTGTTAAGCAGTATAATTAGGAAGGGTTGGAGGGTTGTTTATGTGGCAGCACCTACAAATGCCTGGCTGTTGAAGGTAAGAGTTGTGAGCACCAGGCTCCTCAACTCCCAAACATGTGGGAGCCACATGTCCCTCAGCGCACTGGGATCTGCTGGTGGAGCACACCTGAGTCCTCCCCACGTGCCTTCATTTTCCCGGGTTTCCGCACCCTGCCATCAGTGGTGAGAAGCCATAAACCTTTACTCTTGCCTGGGACAGACTCCTCTCTTTTCCTTCCTACTTTATCAGGGGAGACATGAGGCTGTAGCTGCTTGCTTTTGATTTTCTCATACTTCTAGTGTCA